TAGACATTTAGAAGAAAAAACTTCTTGAGCCTAGATTCACAAATTTACGACGTAAATTATCAGATATTATATTAGATATCAAGTATGCTATCTAGGTAAAATAGTGGTGATAAATTAAGTATAAAAATATAATTTTAAGAATTACAAAAATCCTCCTATTTGAACTCAGAAATTTGATAATATTTCAATTCGCTCCAAGTTTAATATTTATAAAAGATACGCACTTTAAATCACATAATACAGTTATATTTAGCTACCTAATAAAATGCAACTTAAATGAATAATTACTATCTCGATAGAATAAACTCTATTAAAGACACGAGTATCTATTTTGAAAATAGTTTTTCGTTTAAATTAAATCATAGAATAATTATAAACAAAGCATTTAAAATGCTAAGTTTTATTAACAGAAATACAAAAGAATTTTAGACCCTATTTGTTTAAAAACACTATATATATCAAGAGTAAGATTCAACTTCAAACTTAAGTTTATTCATCTGAACTTATAATTATTTAAAATGTATAAATTATCTTGATAATGTCCATCATAAGTTTTAAAACATAATTGCTCATATATTTAATACCACCAATATTATTTAAAACTACTTGAACTTAGATTCACTAAGTATAAGACGTAAATTATGAAATATTATGTTATATTTTAAACAACCTTATTGGCTGTCCTGAGTTATTATTTGCAATCTGTTTCCATATACTATGTAGAAACACGAGGAACTTAAATAATATATTCGTAATTTCTAATTATAAAACGAATAGTAGAAATAATACATTTTGATTCAAAAGCTTTTGTTTTGGTTAACAAAATTTTCACAAAATTAGATTTTTTTGTACTTTCTCACAACATGTTTAAATATAACTTTTAGAATTAATAACGTTATTTTATTATTATTAATTTTGGTAAAATAATATTACATAGGTACTTGTCAAAACGTTACAATAGATATTATGAACTTATAAAAGGCCATTTGCCATAAATATAAAATAAACAAATGTATTATAAACATAAGCACTTATCGTAGATATTAATCTAATACAGAATATTATTAATTTATATAATTTTTAATAAGTATTAATTGAACAATATGATGGTTTACTATAAAATATTAATAATCAGCCCACCCGTAAATTGCCGTCGCGCAAATACACCGTGACAAGGGTATAACGATAGTATAAAGTTATAATATTATTATATTATAACACTTTGATTATTTGTAATAATGCAAATTATGTCACGTTCGTTTATTTTATTTTTTTGTTTGCTTTCACACACCCCAGCGTTCCTCTAGTTCCACTTTAAATCAAACGTAAATCAAGGTCTTAATTGTAATACTGTATATCACTTGATCCACTGTTTTATACACGCACGGATTTGACTGTTTCAACAATACTTTTGGCTCTAATCATACCCATACCGGCTTATGGATAGCTCATATACTCTACACCTAAGAACCATAACCATCGTATGATTTGTATACAGCTCTATAGAGTATCACAATTAAGGATACATAAATATAACAATGCAAATTATACCATATGTACCACCTATTGGTAATAACAAACCAAATAATTTATTTTAAAATAATATATTATTATGCATGTCTATTATTATTAAAACCGCAACTGGTGTGATGTCTTATCTAAAGCCACTGTTTCTCGTGCACTCAAAAATATCGAAAACTCAATGCATTTATATACAATCATTTTATGATATTTACAGTTGATTGTTAATTGTAAACGAGTATGTACCTATTATATGTGAGTGTGTATATTATGTTAAGACAGCGCCTAGAAAACCTACTTGGCTATATATTTAATATAATTTATAATGTGACAAACTCGATTGGTTTTCGATACATTTGTCAATAATTGAAATTATAATTATATGTATCGTATGTCAAAGTCAAATGCATGTATATTCGATAAAACTATATGGTATATTTTAAAATCACGTAGAATGCTGCATTTCATAAGCATAATATCTATATATATACTTATTTATTTTATTACCTACTTATAAAATCTACATTAGGTATACTCAACATGTGATACGACGTTTGTCTTATTTTATTTAATATATTATACGATTTTTGCATTTCATTTGTTTTTCTATACCCACGCATATACGACAATAATTACCGTGATCAAAATTATCGCAAATCCTATACTTAAGTACATATATAATTATTATTACGCAGAAACAAGCGACGACGAATATTAATAACATTTAACATTTATAAAATATTATGCTTGATAATTTATTACAAAGGCAAACGTTGACATTTATGTGAAAATTTGATTTTTTTTTAATTGATCATTTCCTGTTTTTACGTATTCTTGCTTTCCCGCAGTCTGGAACCGATTTAAGTGGCGTAACGTATTAAAAGGTGTTTTAATGGCGAGCCATTAATTTTTGTTTTTATCTACCCGTTAATAAATAGGACGTTAAATTGTCTAGTGGCGTATATTACGGAACATTGAACAACCATGGGTATACGGGTGTAACCCGATGCAAAATTGCTTATGGTTTTTTTTTATTAGGATTTATTAGTTTTAACTATTACAAAGAATAGCACCAGCAACTATGACAATTAATATACCACTGCCTATTATATCATTGAAAGTAGAATATTATTTTAACAATTCAAATGCATATTTATCATAAAAACATACATTATAGTTATGTACATAGTACATAAGTACATTGTAAAAATTTGTAATAATATGAAATCGAAAAGTTCTATATTGTAGTTAAATTAAATCATTCATTAATATTGTTTTACTTAGGAAGTATTTGAGATGTTCATTATGTATTGTTATTTGACAATTTTAGCTCGATGATGCAGTCATATAAATTGTAAAGTAAACAATTATGATATATAATAAAATGCAACATTGTTGTTATTCAAATAATTGTAGAGACTTCACGTTTTTACCAAATATTATTTATATAAACATTTTTTAAACATGATATAAACTTCAAAATAATTTTTAGCTGTTTATAAAATAAATATTTATAATATTTATTATTTAGTAAGATAAATCAGCTCATCTATTATTTACAGCTGCAGCTATAATCCTCAATATTTCAATTTTTCATATAAAAATATATTCAACATACATTTTATACGGTGTACAGACTGCAGTACAGCACTTTATATTATCATCTCAGCTAGTATAAATTAAAATAATATTATTTGTATATTATAATACAACTACTGATTATATTTTAACTTGTATATAAATAAATTGACAACTACAATCTCGTAAAATTTGAATAGTATTGGTATTAAAGCATGTTTGACATTTTTAAATGAACAAATAATAAAACTCTCTACAAGTGACAACGCTATGATTTAGGACATAGTTCTAAAACATTTGGTCTGCTATAAAATTACAAAATATTTTTTTTTCGATTTTAATGTAAATAAAATAAAATATAACTTTCTACTTTCCTATTGTAATAAATACCTATATAAATTATATATTAATTTATGTGCGTAAGGCATATAAATTAATAATGCATAGTTTATTTTTCATGAGATATTTTTGCAAAAACAAACTTAAAGTTAATTTTAACTTTTAGCTATTACCAAGTATACTTATTTATATAAACTATGTTTACTTTATTATGTCACGAATACTAAAACAACATCATGAATGATTGATTAGAGTATTAGTATTACTATTATTTATTCATCTTGTTGTATAATAAAAATGTATTGTCCTAAAATGCTTCCAATACTTACCTACATAATAAAAATTATGTTTGATATACCGATTATAAACAATACATAATATGTATATATTTATAAACAAGTACCTATATTATATAAATAATAATTTAATATCAAGTAGTAAATCATAAGCATGAAAAAAGTACACAGGAAATCATTGAAACAATGATTTGAAGGTAAATGACCTAGATTTATTACATGATACATAATTGGGCAGTGGGCAGGTATCTTATTTTGTAAAAACGTAAAGTATAAAAAATAAAGGTGTTTACTCCTATATAATCAATATTGTATATTTGTAAATACATACTAATATTTTAGGAATTACCAAAATGAAGTGATCATACAAGATATTATAATATTACATAATGTACAATACATTAAAACATATTGTCACTTTTTATCACTATAGTACTAAAAACGGACATTAATCTATACATTGTAGAATCTTTAGTTTAATTATATATAATAAGAAATAAATGGTGTTTTGGAAATTGAACAGTAAACACATACCTATATTTTTAACAAATATATAAAAAAAAACGCTGCGTGTTATCACAGATGGATTAGTTAACATAAACATTATCGTATACTCTTTTTAGTGACTGACTTAGGATACAAGACAATTATATTTCCCAAACACCTCAAGTAGGAAATAGATTTAAAATGTTTGTTTTATGATTTATGCTTATTGTCTATTTTTACATTTAATATATACTACAAAACTTAGCATTCAAGGTTGAATCAAATAAAACATATATGAATAACATATTATATACATTTGAGACAGATAGGTATAGAACAATACATAACAAGTAGTAAAATGAATATACTAATATACTACTATATATAAACAGACATAATATGATTTATGAACGCAAACGCAAAGCTAAATGCCACAGGTCTCTATTATACTATGCTGTACAATGTCCATTATCGTGAAAAGTTATTAATTTGATTGTTTCACCCAACACTCATGTTCTATGTTTAATACCAATGATAACATAATACTATACTGTACAAGAAGTTTCCACAATCTACCACTGACCCTTTCGCACGAGTTTCACAAGACCTTTGGAGCAACCCTAATACTAAACGTATACTATACACTGTCAACTCTCTATACCGCAGAGGTACTAATAATCCCAACACAAATAACCATTTACCAGCTGACAATAATATTACTTCATCGTTACCGTATCGATAATGATTAGCGTAGGTACGTCAATAGGTGCGTCGACTTACCGTTGTGTTTGGCTTTCGGGGTGACCAAGCGGAACGCGCTGTTTCCGCCGGCGCTGCTGTGGTGGTGTCCGTTGACGACCGCCGCGTTTATAACGGCGGCGCTGGTTGCGTGGTGGTGATGGTGATGGTGGTGCTGGTGATCGTGCTGAACAAACTTGAGGAAACCGGACGACGGTACGGCGGGTGAACGGCGACCGTCGTTAGATTGCTGCGCGGCGGCGGTGGCGGACGAAGCGCCGCTGGCACAACTCGTCGCGGCCGCAGCAGCAGCAGCAGCAGCAGCAGCAGCAGCCGCAGCGGCCGCGGCGGCCCCGGACGATGGCGTCCTGACGACGGCCGTCGGCGGCGTCCTCTTGACCGACACGCTAAAGTCGATCGGCGCGGACACTGTGATCTCCATCGCACGGGACGACTGTGGTGGCGGTGGCGGCGGCGTACGAGTTGTCGTGGTCCGCGGCTGCGAAAACGGGAAAATGCGCCCGCCCGCGCGTGATAATTACGCCGAAAATCTATGCGCGAGTATTGCGAAATCAGTTCCCGAAAAAACGGTTGTTGTGATTGTCGTGCAACTGCCGGAGGTCCGTATGGTGCGACGTGCAGTGTGTTACGGCGCGTGTACGACGGTGCTCTTATCAGTACGGGCGACAAATAATGTCGTTGAAAATTCCGACGCGATTTCAGATATCGGTAAATGGCGTTTTTACGGTGTGTTTATGATGTGTTTGATTGTGTGGTAGTCCGACGGGCGACAGGTATGCGTCGTGGACGCGCGCTGCCAGTACGGATGATACGGTACGTGATCCGGTCGGAACTGTAATGTCGCGACGGCGGCGCCTGCCGAACGGTCGGGCACGTCGGTGGGCGGCGGCGCTCGCGGCCGCCCCGGACACACTCCTCCCACAAAACGGCTTTTGACTAACCGCAACGGGCGAGCACGCCGGCGGTTTTACCTACACACACGCTCGCCGCTCGTCTGTCCGCTCGGCGGCGCCCGCTCGAACCCGTACACCCGCCGCTGCACGCGAATCGCGACGCGCCAATCCCACCCACCCACCCACCGCTCAGACACCGATCACCCACCGCCACGACGTCGCCGGTTTAATGTTATATGTATTACAGTATTATAGCCACGTGAGTGTGAGTGCGGTTTTTCCGCGCCCCACCCCCCTCTTCACTGAATCTTATTACCCTTTCCGGTCCACGCCGTCGTCCACCACCGCCGGCGTTCGCCTTTATATCATTATTATTATCATGAAATATAATAATAATAATAATAACGCGCGTAGTAGACGACCAAATCTGTGGCGGCCACACTTGCGCGTGGCATCAGCCACTGCCACCACCGTCGCCACCGCCGCGCACCACATAATAATATTAATATTTTGTATAGTGTGCAGCGGCGTTATTACATTATTATGCATTTATACGTCGTGTGTACTGCGCGAGGTCGAGGTGTTCGATTTTCACGATTTTTCGTTGTTGTCGTAATTTGTTCGACGCACTGTTTGTATAGTAATAGGTATGTGCACATAGTTATGAAAGTTATTACGCATACGAACCACTGTCACTCGATAGTCATAACTCGCAGAGAGTGGTATCATGTTTTCATTATAAAAGTGCATCTCTCTATATTATATCAATACACCTGTTTCCACTAAAAATATACATGTATGTACCTTGCTCTTTTCCACCCAAATGCAGAAATTATCACTGATTTCACTAACTTTTCGTCATCCCGCTACCGGCCGGTTACCGTTTGTGATTGTATACTCAAATATTTTTTATGCACCGTCACAAGACTTTGAAATAAAAGTAAATTCCAATAATAATATATTGTTTAATTAATAGAAGCAAAATTAATAATCAGTATTCTTCGTTTCTTTATGGAATAAGTTCGTAAATAAAAACTTAAGTAAAAGACGATTTTTTAAAGATTTTTAAATATAACACATTTTATTTATTATAAATTTTAAGTGTACCTTTCATTTATTTATAAAAATTTAATACTTAAGGAAATAAATTACTAAAAATAATTTCAAAAATTTTAAAATAAAGTATATACAATTTATAATATAGGTTGGTACATGAAATTACTTGATGCCATATAACATAACAAAAATCTGACAACGTCCTAACAATAGTTCTAAATATTTTAAAAAGTTTTACCACTTTTTTCTTGAATATAGATTACATTATATAGTGACTTTTTTATTTACCTATTGTAGTGATAGTTGATCATAAATTATTTTAATTATATTATTGTTATTATAGAAGTTTTTTTAATTTTTAATATTGAAATATACACTCTCAAGTAATTTGCATAAAGTTATACAGTACCTATAACATAAATTCTTTCATGTTTGTAATATGTTGTTATAATATTTGCCTACTGTTCAATTAAATAAAATATGTTATAATAAGAATATATAATATAATATATACGTTACATAAATAGAGATATAGAAAAGTATTGAACATAAAAACCGAATTTTTAGATGATTGACATCTCAATTAAAGTCACCAGATTTTGGTGTGGTAATTTTACATGGCTTGGAATAACGAAGCAATATAATTATTAATAAACAAGTGCTAAAATACCTCATACATTAGGTTATTTTAAAAATATTATAAAACATAAAAAATAATATATTATAATACATTTTAATGTATTTATTGTTAATAAAAAAAATATATTAAGTAGGTATTTACTTTCTTTCAATAAAATATTAAAATTAGTTTTGTATAATTATTTTTCTTATCATTGCTTATGATATTATTCTTACACATTATATTATAAAGTATAGCAGTATGCCTGTATATAGTGTTTTAAGAATTAATACATACCTATATAATAATGCATTTTACTTATATTCAGGTCTTTATTGTAACTTCAGCATCCGAGTTTTTTTTTTTTTACCTTAAATCTAATAATAAAAACCTATAACACCCGCATATTATATATATATTATTGCGTCGTTTAAAAACTTACAAGAGGTGATGCGAAGAGCATACTTAATTATTTAGATACACATATAAAACTTACATAAACACAGATTGTGACTAGAATAGTTTCGATAATTCACATTTGGTAGGTATCATACAAACAAAATATTCATATTATATATATATATATGTATATTATAACAGTGTTTCGAGAGAGTTTTTTCGCGTGGAAAATGTTTATATGTATCACTATGCTACAAAGATAATGAGATATATTATATACGTATATACATTCATACAACTGGTGTAAATTTATAAAATGTATATACACTTCGCACGTGGCCGCCAAACACTGTCCAGACGCAACACCCGCGACTTATTATTGTGTTAATATACGAAAACAAAATGGTAGAAACTATTATATAAAAAGCGCGTGGTAAAATTACATCGCCATTACTTGATAATTATAAATATATATATTAGATTTAATGTTTTTTTTTTTTTTTTAATGTGCTTCTTTACTAAAATATTTGTATAATTATTGTATAATTCAACACTTAGTATATGGGTATACGCGATATAGTATATATATTATTGTAAAAAAAGTTCGAGATCTACAGACAATAAATATTCCTAAAACTTTTTGTCTTATTAACTAAGCAATTATATATATTGCTGAAAAATCTCATATTACCTAAAGACTATAAATACATAGCTATTTAAATTGGTAAATCGGTAAAATGTTATAATCATTTTTAATATACCTGTAATTTAATTTATATTCTGTACCATTACGAGATGTTTTGTGTACCACAGTTTGTAGTAGTTATAGTACATTTTTACTGGATTAAGTATACTATTTAAAATTTAAAAAGTTGGTTAAGTGGGTACTGCTTTGCAGTGACAGCGCTAGGGAGAGGGGCATTCCGTGCAAATTCCCGGGGCCCCGTGATCAGGGGGACCCTGTGTTTAATTTTTTTTTTTTTCATAATTTTATAGCACGCAAAGGAAAAAATAAATAATTTATGTCATGTAACTTAAGAACAATTTTTTATGAATAAGTAATGTAGCCGATGTACATAATTTGTAATCGTACAGGAAAAATAAAATTGATATTTGTATTTGAAAAACCAACTATAGGCTATAAAATATAATTATAATACAAACCAATTATTTTGTTTTTATTTTATAACTTTAAAAAGTTAAAAAAATATAATTTTTTTGTTACATATGATTTATTCTGATATAATAGCTTCATCATTTTTTAAAACCAATTATATTCAATAACTAATTATTTTAATTTAAAATATACTTAACTGTGAAACTAATATTATATTATATGTATATTTTATAAAACGATACATTTTAAAAACTAATAAGTAGTAGAATCAATAAAATTATGAACAAAAATATGTTAATTGTCATAAAAATGTTTTAATTTTGATAATATATTAATATATAATCAATTGTACCTATCTATTTAAATAAATTGTTAATAATTAGGAATAATAAAATAAATCTCTATTGTTAACTGGTAATTGATATCTAAACCGTGTCTAAAGGCTATCAGCTATTATATACAACAAAATATCAAGTGTAAGTATTTACTGTCTACTTTCATAATCATCAAGGGCTCTACCAAAAATATTGCCCAGGGCCCCAAAATACATGGTGCCGTCACTGCAGCTCTGCTATACGGTAGGTAGTAGATGTCTAGTGAGTCACTGTTATGAGTAATGGGTATGCTAAATTTAAATTCAATGATGTATCATTGTAAACGAAAAATAGTTCTGAGCGTAGAAAGTTTATATCAACATAAATTACTAAGTATATAATTTCATGTTATTTTTAAATTCTAAGCAAAGTGATGAATGTATTGATTTTACAATTATGATGCGTGTTTTTTTTTTTTGTCTGTACTCTGTAGGTATACACAATAAGTAATCGATAATAAAATGCTTTGATTTTCATATTTAAAAGTGGTTTTGGAAAGAAAATTGAAACTTATTTGTATTTAAGAAGGTTAAAATTAAAAATCCAAGTATTTTTCAAAATAACCAGGAAAAATTACAAAACATTAAGAAAAACGGAAACTTCTGATACAATTATTCTAAAACGAATAACCGCAATTACTTGAATTTTCCACTAAATGTTTATATAATAATATTTTATTTATGGTATGATTTTCAAAATATCTTTAATAAAAGATTTCCAATACTTTATACTATAATCGGGGAAAACAAATATCAAATTAAGGAAAAAGTAGTATTTTTACACTAAACCGTTTTTTACTAAATTGATTTCTTTATTTTGTTAAAGTAAAAAATAAATAACAGCAAAGATTTGAAATTTTTACCAAATGTTCATATTATGGTTCTCTTTATATGCTATAATTTTTAAAATATTTAAAAAAAAAAATTTTAAGCTATAGATATTTATAGACAATTAAAAATTTTAATTTCCTTTTTTTTTACAAATGCCAATAAAAAATTATCAATTAATTAAATTGCTTGAAAATTTAATACAAGATTTTTAATAAGTGGCCTATTCCTCAATTAAAACATAACAAAATTTTACAGTCACAATTTTTTTTTATAAGCATTTAAATTTAGGATTTCAACAAACTTCATCATATAATCTTGAAAATTACAAATGGTTTTGTAGTTTGAAATTCATAAAAAATTTTATGTTTATACATAAGATTTAAAAATTTTAAAAATGTTATATTATTTAAATTCAAAATCATTTTTTGTATAGGTACTCCATTTCCAAGTAACACCAAAAAACAGAAATTATTTTATTTTAAACTGAAATTACATAAACACGACTGTTAACGATATCAATAAAATATAAT